TGGTCATAGTTTGATTCATAACATGGGTTCAATGCGTGAAGCCCGTTTACGGTGTCCAGCGTTGAACTGCTGGAACATTGCTATAATAGGTGTTAACGTCGTACTTGAGAATATTCCGCTCATATGACGACGTGTATGCGTGTGTATGTGTGGCTGCTTGTACTAACCCAGACTTAAGCTGGTTTTATAGTGCCAGCTCATTGAGATACCATGTCGCAGTTAAGCATGAATACCCCACTCGGACACATTATACTGACTCCGAGCCGACCAGTCCTTCAAGTTGTACCCATTAATGCCGAGCGCCAGGCAGGGACCAACAAGTACCATATTTCAACGTCTTTTGGTTTGGCGCGTCCGGGGATCGAACCCGAGACCTTTCGCTCTCCGGGCGGACGCTCTAACCACTACACCACGGAGGCGGTTGGAGTAAAATCAAATGCACTCACTCACTCACACCAGGACAGCAGTGACAAGGACAGCATTGACAGTGTGTGTCCAGCACACAGTGATAGCTGGTCAACAACTAAATGCACCTTGACTGATCCAAAGGACCTTCTGTCATAGTCATTTGTCTTCCATGTGTTGTCATCCATCGTTATCCGTTAAACCTTGCAAACAGTGTGTCCTTCGGAAACCCCAAAGTCTGTTGATGTGAAATACTGGACTCGCATGTACGACCCTAGTATAATGTAATAAAAGTGATCAGAGAGTTCCAATCCAACAGGGGCCGTGGGGTAGTCTAGTGGTTAAAGATTCCGCTCGTCATGCCGAAGATCCGGGTTCGATTCCCACGTGGGTACAATGGGTGAAGCCCATTTCTGGTGTCCCCCGACCTGATATTTGCTGGATTATTGCAAAAAGCGGCGTTAAACCATACTCACTCCAATCCTACATCCAGTTACCATGTCTGCCCTCATAGTTGACCTTCATATTTCCACCTTCAAGGTCATTTTGTCTAACAATGCCATGTGTCCACGACACGTGGTCTCTGCTACAGGTAGAGAGCCTTCACTGCACCACTGCTAGCACTGATTCACTCGCGTTCAGTTTCTTTTAATTGTCACTTCCGGTTACCTTATTATTTCTCGGACATGAATATCCGCCAAGTGTCGGGGCTTTCAATTTACATCTGTGGTATAACCACTGTACACTAGCGGTTATTCTCTATCTCTATGTTTGATTAAAAGAAAGAATTCCAATTGAATTGAATAGGAACCCGATTGAGATGGGAGATTTAAAGCCTCTGGGAATTTTAGACCTTCTGTTGAAGTACATTAAGGGCATGGTAAAAGAGAAAGATAAAGGTTCCGGGCCCGTGAAACAGACTAAAAATACTACTGAGTTTAACGTCACTTTAACACGTTTTCAGTGATATCATGTAAACTTGGGAGTGGGAAGAACGCCGAAATGTTACAGCTTAGGCGTTTACTCTGCCCATGAAACAATGGTGCTGACAAACCTAGAAACATGCCAATCTGGGATTTGAACCACGACCACGAAGTATCTAGTACGACTAAGGGACGCATCTCTACATATCGAAATTCAGCAATCCTTACCTCTTACTAGGAAACAGACATGGTTTTTGTAAAGCGTCACGCAAACTGTTTACTAAATTTCATTTTTTAACAATATGGTCACCTTGGTAACCGCATTGATCGTGTCAACTATATTATCACCATTCGGCCATTACTGTAGCATTGTGTAATATGGTATCTACAGCATGGATGTGCTATGAACTGACAAAGACGGGTTGTTTGTGATCGTTCTATGTGAAGCTGGATACATCAATATTTTAATGCACAGAGAGAGAAAGGTACACAATGGGTGCATACGGTATTGATATTCACACGACTTACCTTGCTGCTAATATCAATGCATATGTGCATGCCAAGTAGGTGTTAACAAGTACAGTTTCGTGGTGTAGAATCATTAGTGATTGGATTTGTCGCCTATATACAGTATAGCGAAACCTCATTTATCCGAACGGTCCCATTATCAATTAAATCGTCCGAATCATCACATTATGTACGGAGAAACGAATTATCGACGTATAATAAATTAACTTTCATCATGTGCTTCTAACACCTATTGGAAGTCTCATTGGTAAGATGGGTAGACCTAACAGAGTTTTGCCCAGGGAGCCGAAAGTCAGTGGTTCGTTCCTCTAACTGCGCCATTCTAAAAGACGGTGAATATTGGTACTTGTTGTTACTTTGCCTGGCACTTAGTTTTAAGGCGATAAACCAAGGTCTATTCGCCTCGAAGTCAGTATACCGTGTCTGACTCGGGTATCCACGATAGACTAATGAATGGTATCCTACTGGACTAGCACTAAGCGGCAGGCGTTAATCTGGAATAGTACAACGTATTCTACCATGACTTCAGTAAATACTGGATTGTGATTGGTTAATCAAAGTCATTCAGAGGTATATAATCACGTTATATACCTCTGGTTTTCCAACACAGTAAGTATTTTTTTTAAATCTTAATAACGGGGTTATGGTAGAATGGAGATAAACGTAATGTGTTGGAAAATCAGAGGTATATAACGAAATTATAATAGCTCTAAATTTTTTATTTAAAGCTATAAACAGTATGTTTATCTCCTAATTGTTCAATCAAATTTCGAGAAACAGAACCATTATGCCACTTATAATAGCTGGCCTGTCAGCACTATACCAGTGCTCTGGAGCCGAAAAGGTATGTGATAATGACCTATATCACACGTCCCGATAGTTATAATGCTATTAACATCAACGTTGAATGGTTGTAAATATGCTACTCCGTGTAAATATGCTACTGTAGTACATACCATACATAATGATATGGGAAACGGGCGGGCTGTGATAGGAGTCGACTTTTGCCTCGTTATTTTCACATATCTGCCTGAGTGAGTGAGTGAGTGAGACTGGGTGGATGTTTGGGTGAGTGAGTGTTGTTTAATGTCGCATCAGTAGTATTAAAGCTTTATTAAAGTTGTCCGATCCTCATTACAGTTGTCCTTCAGTGTCATCCGATAACATTTAGATCGGTTGTTTGACTCGGTGACTTGATTGCCTAACATGCCTTATCATTGCCTATCATCGTATCGGGGCGGTGGGGTAGCCTAGTGGTTAAAGCGTTCGCTCGTCACGCCGAAGACCCAGGTTCGATTCCCCACATGGGTACAATGTGTGATGCCCATTTCTGGTGTCCCTCGGCGTGATATTGCTGGAATATTGCTAAAAGCGGCGTAAAACCATCCTTACTCATACTATCATCGTATCGGGTCGATGCTCCTGCTGTCAACCGCTGCATGGTTGGTCTGTACCAGACTCGAATTACTAGAGAGATGAGATGGGGTTTGTCGCGTTCAACATGATATAGACTTATACTTATATAGCTACATCCATGTAGGGTGTGAAAAATAGAAACATAACCGTGTCAAATGAGATTCGAACCCAAGACCATACGTTTCGGACACACATAATGCCGCACCTGCATTTATGAAATAGTTTCTCAGATGAATTGGCCACTTGGGCCCCTGAAATAATATAAACTCTCTCTGTAACCCTGTCAACTGTTGAGAGGTATACAATGTCAGCGAGAGGCTGTAAAGTGTTTCAACTGTATGACTGAAATGTTGCCAGTGGTTTGACTGAAAGGCGGTACGTTGTCACGTTGTCAGTGGTTTGACTAAAGGCGGTACGTTGTCAGTGGTTTGACTGAAGGCGGTACGTTGTCACGTTATCAGTGGTTTGACTAAAGGCGGTACGTTGCCAGTGGTTTGACTGAAAGGCGGTACGTTGTCACGTTATCAGTGGTTTGACTAAAGGCGGTACGTTGTCAGTGGTTTGATTGAAAAGCTGTATGTTGCCAATGGTTTGCCTGGATGGTCGCTTTTGTTAATAGTCCTGGCGTGATCAACCTTATGAAGAAAGTATCCAGACTGTTTGCTCCGCTCGGGTTTCGAGACAAATACGTTTCTTTCTGTCCTTTACTCGGTGCCTTTCATCGGCATGATTAGTCGATAGGGAAACAGCACCGCTGGGATATGCTTTTAGATCGATATCGTATGCGTCAATAATAAACAATAACACCCACCAAAGATTGAGATTACAGTCGATAAATCAAATGACGAGGTATACCGTAGTTGATCAACGAATCTAGAAACAGCACGTGTTCAATTGAATTACGATTTATGTTATGAGAAATGGAAATATTCATAATATTCAGCTGTTAACGCCTGATTAATTATCGATTGGCATCAATTTTTAGTCCTTGGACAAAGTAGTCTCTTTGGGGCCTGGGGTCTTAAGTGCAACGTTAATTGTCTCCGGTGTTTGCGGGAGCAAGACAATCACAAGATGAAGTGTCTTTTTCTACCTTGTGCAGATTTATATTACCCGGGTTTTGTCTAGTGTCTTAAGTGGTCGTGACTTAAGGGTCGCGACATTTATATTCATGCATATTCACTGTGTGTGAGGTGGGTCTTTTTGCCCTTAGTGTTTGTTGCGGCAGTTGTTGATACACATATATAAGGATATAACGATAGTGTGAACGAGGACTGTGGGGAATCGAACCCAGGCCTTCAGTGTAAGGAGCGAATACTTTAACCAAGATGGGCTAACCAACCGCTTCTAATAACGATATATGCAACCATTTAAGGACCATTTACTAGATATCTTTTCATATAAAATTGTATATTTCTTTAATTTACCTTTGAAAATTGATACAGGCACGATTTTATACATGACAATAGTGATCTGTGCTCATTTTTGCCAGAGGTATTTTTCTTGGAATCTTGATTTCTGTACAAGTATTAACAAATTCTATTTCAATATTTTGTCAACTCTTTCCTATAATAGTTAAATGATTTATATGACATGTCGAGGGGCGTCCTCAGCATGGACGTGTAGTGGATTAACTACGGTATTTAATCTGCGCTCCATCGTGTTGCCTGGTAGTGTATCAACACACGGAGTTTCAAATACTAGTAGTACAAATGTCCACCTGCATACATATCTTAAACATCACTGCTGGGACATTGCTTTAATATAACGGGATTGTGTAAAACAAGCCCCGACTGAAGACGGACGACGGACACACACCGGCAACATGACGTCAGCGCAGCTTCAATACATCCACAATGAGGTGAGGGGCTGTGTTTGAGGGCCTGTTTGACTTTATGTGTCTGATAGAATGATGCGAGTTCTAGTAATGTAATTCTAACCACAGGTGTGTCAGATTTAATAATTTTAGATAAAAAATGCATACGCAAATATAATTTGTTTTTGGTATTAAGGGTCTGTTGTTTTTCGCCCTTGACGCAAACGTTTGAAAAAAACCCCATGTGATCTTCTAATATTGTGAAGAATAGGTAGTGTATGCTGATAATTAAATGAAAGTGGTGATCTCGGGAAACATGTCTTAACTAGCTGTTGCAAGCGTCGTGTAAAACGATATATTTCAACAGCGGTAACAATGTTCGAGTGAGTGAGATTAGTGTTTAGCCACTTTTAGCAATATTCCAGCAATATCACCAGAAATGGGCTGAACACATAGTACCTTCGTGAGGCATCGAACTCTGGTCTTTGGCGTGACGAGCGAACGCTTGAACCATTAGGCTACCCCACCACTCATATATTGAAGTAATATTATGGTGTTATCATATAGTATTTATATAGTAATACATTTATGTCTTGACACACAATATGGTGAATAAAACATAATGGACAAATAAAAAGTGAAAATGTCTATGATAAATGCACGGGCACACTATTACTAGCCTTATCACGTGTATTTACTGACAGCGTTCATCTCTAGAATTCGTTGTTTATCATGTTAAGTATATAAGTTGTACATGATACTGTGTGTGCTGAAAGTTTCATGATATGCATGTAGAGAGCTACTCGTGTGTATCCTAGTACCACGCTTAGAAACACGCACATACCTGTAGTGGCGTGCAAACATCGGTCACGGCCGATATACCCATTGTACATACACTGGGATCTCTCGATTTTGTAACATAAATCAACATATAGTTATGAAACTTTGTTAGATATATATACTAGTTACGGTCACCGTAACTTATTGCTGTATCATAGGAGGCATCTACCGTACATGTGGGTGGTTTAACATGGACGAGAGAAAATGAAACTGTCACCGAATTTCACAAGTGTTTACTTTCTGTCACCGATCGCGACGAGATGCTCCGCCCCCTAACGACAAGAAAGCGTCCTGTGACAACACGATTGTGACGTCACAGATAGGCCCTCGTTCAAGCCAATCTACGATCAATTGCGTGAAACATGCGTGCTATTTGCTTTACGACTATCAATCTTTGATGATATTTCCGTGAGAGTGTGATCTGATTATATTCGTGTGTGTAAATATTGCATGAGCAGCGAATGATTGGAAACACTTTGATTAAACGTTGCTTGTTGTTCTTCTCATACTGAAGTCGTGCAGTCAATTACGTGTAAAGCAAACAAATGACTTCTACTAAGATAATTGAATATTTATGTCTCCTCACAGCAGAATGTAAGTAGACAACCTTCTGTTTATGATGAGCCATAGGCATCCAAGGTATTAATAAAAATAATTCGTGCAATTAGTATATACGTTGCTTATATCAAGCAAGTATATAGGTGTTAATTAAATACACCTTTCACACAATACGGACATAGTACGGGAAGGGGGGGGGGGGTTGTTAACGGTGGGAATTGTGGGTTGTGGCTGATTTGGGGTGGGGTAGTAGGGTAGTGGATAAAGACCCATAACGTTTTCTTTAATGATTACGCATATAACTATGACAATCAACTGTCATTTTATCAAGAAAGAGACAAAGGAATTTCAGCTCAATTCATTGATTTAATTTTAAAGACTTTGAATTTCGTGCTAAAATAACAGAAAACAAACGAGCATTCATTGTCAGATCAACATTTTTTTGACGGACAATTTATTTCCTGTAATATTTCAGTGGGGATACGTGAAATATTGACCCAATCGTTAAAATATCAATGGTCTGTCATGTGTGTGTGTATTGTTTAGCTGAGTGATAGCTGAGGATTGTTATAAATTCTACGTTGATCAATACATTTCGTTTATGAAATGTTAATCAGTTATCTTATCAGTTATGGTGCGTAAAGTAATTCGATATCACCAAAATCAATATTTTACCCGTTTTGCGAGACAACAGCAACCCGACGTCGTGTACGGAGTATAACTAGTTGTAGGGAAACAGCAGTAGCACACTTACGGTTTAATAGGATTTAGCTGTTCGGTAAAATGGCGACCGACGTTATGTCTCGATTACAAAGTCCCTACACGGGACTTGTAAACATCGACACTCGGGTAAGTTACACATGGTTAGACAGACATTTGTCTCATACATGTGTTTTGTTTCAAAATAACATCTTTTGAAATACGATTTCAGTTGGGAGAAGAGACTCTGTCACCAGCGTTTGTCAAGCACTTGGAACACTATTACGACCGGGCACCTGTCGCGGATAAAGCCAGGTGTTTAGAGCTGATCACTTCTATCAAACTCGGAGAGGAGGTGAAGAGGTCACAGGTTCGCCGGCCCAAAACAGCAATGCCTGCTTTAGGTATATATCAAATTATACATAAAAAATAAATAAAAGTTATTCTATGTAATTAAAAGAAGTATTATTCACCTCTGAGTAATGAGAAACTTTGAAAATCACAGAGTGTGAAAAAAATTACAAAAGTATAAATAGTTCTTGACTTTGGTATTTTTTTGTATGCTACCCAATGTCAGATGTCACTTTTTAGATTTAGGTTGATCCGACATTTTCTCAGCTTGTTTCCAAAACGATACATACTGTCCTTTTCAATTTCATTAAATCAGAACCATTTGGACACAGAATTGTCTCGAATCTGATTTAACCGTTTGATTTTCTGAATTTTATTCGGTGGAAATCAAACATATTTGCGACTTAATATAGATGAACTAACTGTTGCGGAATGAAAACTGTTTGTTATGAAACGTTATAACATGCATTGTTGAATATCAATGAACGTTATAACATGCATTGTTGAATATCAATGAACGTTATAACATGCATTGTTGAATAAATGTTCACTTTCTCCATACAGGGGGACCCGAAGGTATGGAGGATATACTAAGTCCCTACAAAACTACCTACAAGCGGGAGTACATCAAACGGAGGGACCCGGAGGTCCGAGCGCTCAGGTGAGTACTCACCTGTAACCAAAAAATACAGTCTTACACTGTACACACATCTACACTATTAAAGATTTCTTTTTACCTCCGAAGGATGACTGAACCGTTTATATTTTAAACATATACAGGACAAGAGAATATAAACATATACATGTAAACAACAGATATATGAATAAAAGATATTGTTATATATAATAATACTTATTATTATTATTGATAAATATTATGTTGGTGTGGAATCGAACCAGACCACAATTTCTATAGTGACGACAAACAGAGTAAGGACTTAATCGATTAAGCTATTGTCTCTGAGTTTTGATTTTTCGCTACGTTCACATTAATCCTGCTAATTCAGTAGTTTGTTTGTTAAGCCTGTATGTTGTGCTGCAGATCTAGGCAACGGTACATCGCCTGTTTACCTTAACACAAGTATAGACCCAAACATGTATTCTCAAGTATATGATCTATCAGTGGTGGGTTATCGAAGATAAATATTGAACATGCATTTGTGCGTCTGTGTATGTACATTGCTATAGTTTGTTATTACCGGTTTTATAAAACGATTTATGTGAACACAAAATATTGATAGGTTTAATTGCCGTGTTATCGAAGATAAATATTGAACATGCATTTATGCGTATAGGTATGTAGGTCACTTAAGGGAAGTTATTACCGGCTTTGAACAGAACGACTTTGTTATTACCGGCTTTGAACAAAGCAAATTTGTTATTACCGGCTTTGAACTAAACAAATTTGTTATTACCGGCTTTGAACTAAACAAATTTGTTATTACCGGCTTTGTACTAAACAAATCTGTTAATACCGGCTTTGAACTAAACAATTTGTTATTGCCGGCTTTGAACTAAACAAATTTGTTATTACCGGCGTTGAACTAAACGATTAAGGTGAACATTACATAAGGGTATTTTTTCACAATCAGTATTCGAATTATCAGTATTAAATCAATAATGTTTATTCAAGGGGCTCATGAAGCCAAAGGCCTATAGTACATCGTCTGAGGTGTGTGTCTAATACACACACTTGTTTCGTTTCATAGCAATATAAATGAACATTGACATATTTCTGATGGTTTTTGTACATTCACGTCATAATTTGGATTGTAGCAAACATATTCCTTTAGAGTGTTAAAACATGTTTATTAGGAGTATTATAGTACAGTTGATATTTCAGCAATATATTCATTTATATATTTGTAACACTCTTCAAACAACTGACGAAATGATTGTACAAACGAACGTACAAAGACCCCTCTATCATCAAGCATCTACAAAGACGGGTCCCCAGTCTTGAGACGTTATTTCCACGATATACTTTCGCAGCACCGAGTTCATAGCTACTTCATGTAATTGGATTATGAAACAAATAATGCGGAGTTTATTGCTTGGATGCACTTGACATATAGCCGCTCCCCAGCTACTGGCACATAAACCCTTGTCAGGAGTTGTAACTCTGACATAAAACCCTCTCAGGGCCCCTGGTTTGCTATTGTACATTGTGCAACGGCCTCAGCTTAAAGTATGGTACACTGACAACTTACCCTTTGCTGGCTGTTATGGGCAGTATTACTACGTAGAGACGCTGTTTTTGTATCCTTTTTCTTCAGTACTATCTAATACTTTATTTGTTTGCACTAGTATTGTATTTTTCCATACATTTGATATTGTTTTAGGGAATTTATGATAAAACTGTTCATATAGCAATGAAAAAAGATCTGAAAACAATTAATAATGAACCGATAGCACATATGTGCACGTAATTGTATCATCTCTATTGTTTAGGGGTTGTATAGACAGTAATTTTGATAAATTGTTGTAATTCATCAGTATGAATGTGTTTATTGCAATGTCATATACGGGGGCGGTGGGGTAGCCTGGTGGTTAAAGCGTTTGCTCGTCGAGTCGCTGAATAACCCGGTTCGATTCCATACATGAGTACTATGTGTGAAGCCCATTTCAGGGTGCCGTTGTACAAAACAACCTTAGCGCTAAGATTACCTTAAGTGTATGTTAAGGTATGGGAGTTACGGTCACCTTAGCGCTAATTCAGCTTTGTACAACGGCACACACCGGTATCCCCCGCCGTGATATTGCTGGAATATTGCAAAACGCGGCGTAAAACCATACTCGCTCACTATGTCATACGTCATGTAATACTTGCTTGGGATACTGAAATAAAATGGATTGTAGCCATGATTGGAGGAACCAGTTCAAACAACACTTGCAAGGTAGCTATTGAGACAGCCCGATTACCTGCCGACTCTACATGCTGCCATGTTTTGGTGTGTGCCGTGGTTGAGCAGAACGTGTCAATGCAGTTGTATATATCGATCTCGCTATCGATCCGTGTCTGCCCTCTCATCAGATCAGCTATTGATCTATGTAAAAATCATAGCTCCTCGAGCAGTTCAATAACCCCTATTGACACAGAACTCTCATTGGTAACCGCCCTCACGCTCGGTCTGAAAAGAACAACTGGTTCTTCTCTATGTTGAAATGGCTTCTACATGCTGAACGGTAGACGGTATTATATGCCTTTCGCTTCATTGCTTTTTCGAATGAATATTTCACGATACCATTCACGTGGATGTTGTCGAAACACAGGTCCAAAGAACGACAATCTTAGCACAGGATCAAATTGAGCCAAAGATTTTTTATCTAAATATTTAATATTGCGACGGAGGAGGTGAAAGTCAAAACATGTCACAATGAAATGGTGAACTCTAGGTATATATCAGGGAGGGGCTACGGGGCGAGGATATGGGATCTGGACAAATCACGTATTTCTTAATCAATATCGAATAATACAGAAAAATATTTTTAACATCAAATATTTTCGAACCATGAACATTTTATAGATAATTGTCATACTGACAGTATTGAGAATCTCTTCCATGTGACAAATAATGTATCCACGAAGAAAACCCCTTTTTTCTCACGGATTTTTGTTTCGGAAACATTCCAGATTCCAATTCTCCAAATATTCCTTAACGTTGATCAGTGTTCGCGAGCTGTAGGAACCAATGTCAGCATAATATCAGTTACCATAGTGACAAGTAAAACAGAACGGTACAAGGTAAACTTAGAAGTATGTGAAAGTATTCTCACGTTATCGTGAAAACAAGGTCATGTACGGGGTGTGAAGGCGTTAATTACATAACGGCAACCGATTATCAGCTTCAGACTCCTATAACGTGCTAAGTATACACGAGATTTGGCGTTTAGATAACACTGAAGTACTAAGTGATACAGCCATGAACGGCGGCATTAAGAATATACGGTATCCAGTGATAATAATCTCGCCATTCTCGTATGTCCCAATGTCAAGGTCACCGTGAAATGACTTATTTTACACTCTTTCTATTTTCGAAATTAATGACAACTTAACATGGAACTTAATAAACAGTCGGGTAGAGACGTCGTGGACAGATACTCAGAACTCTTCGAAAAGCACACACACAAATATGCAAATATAAACGGAAACTCGAGACGTCAGTCATTCGAGTAACTGTCTGACCTCTGACCTCGTTTTCAGTTGTGAAACCATTTGTGTTTGCTAGGTGAGGTGAGGTGAGGTGAAATTGGGTTTAACGTCGTACTTGAGAATATTTCGCTCATATGACGACGTGCATGCGTGTGTATGTGTATGTGCGGCTGCTTGTACTAGCCCAGACGCAAGCTGGTTTTATAGTGCTAGCCCACTGAGATACCATGCCGCAGTGAAGCAGGAATACCCCACTTAGACACATTATACTGACTCCGAGCCGACCAGTCCTTGTTGTACCCATTAATGCCGAGCGCCAGGCAGGGACCAACAAGTACCATATTTTAATGTCTTTTGGTATGACGCGGTCGGGGATCGAACCCGCGACCTTCCGCTCTCCGGGCGGACGCTGTAACCACTACACCACGGAGGCGGTCGTGTTTGCTAAGACTGCACGGATTACCGCAATACGCTTTTGAAACGATACGTATTGCAATATCTTTATGAAAATCTGTGTTGGGTAAAAATATATATGAAGTTTTGTGATTATCGCTATGGAGAATCTACACAGACTTTCATTCACAACTCATGTTCATTTCGTAATTCATTGACAAACCTGCATACTTTACATACTGTAGATTGTATACAAATTATTAACGAACCCCTAACTATCCAAAATAATTTTGACATTGCTATTTTCAGAACAGAACAAATATGTAGAAAATAGGATCTGCTTGTACGATCAGTGTCACTCCCAATATATCTCAATACGGGTACCTGAGTCGCACTATTTAAGAAATACAGTTCGCTCTACCACCATGTATAGTGTAATAAAGCACACTTTCGCCCTGAACTATTATAGTTAAAGCACGAGGACGCTTGTGTCGTGACGTCGCTTACATTGTGACGTAATGCAAAAGTGTTCGATTACGATGGGTCAGACTAGAATGGCGCAGTGACGCCAATACATTGTGACGTAATGCAAAAAAGTGCACATTATCGTCTGATAAAGTACCGTCGGCGCCTTTGATCTTTCACTGAAGCATCTTACAAATTACCATACAGTTTGTTTGCCAATACACAGTCCTATTTTTTACCTTCATCGCCTTGTAATGCTGGGTTATTTTTCGACCTTTACCGTGTTTACGAAACACTGAGTATCGAACCCGCGTCACCCGCTTTAAGAACACATTAACCCCGCTTTAACCACTCTGCTACTTTATCTCCTTTGTATGAATACACGGTTAGACAATAGTGATCTCCAATATCTGTATCTAATCCATGGCCTGTGTGATTGTGTCATCAGAATTCGATCCCTTCATACGCTATCAAGATGGTTTGTTTGTCCAGACTCGATCGCTCTTACTTTGAAGGACATACGTCCACTCACCCACTGCATCTTCACATTCGATATTGTGACTGTCTCGTATTTAAACACCTACCAACTAATGCTAACGCCTCCACAGACCCATGACGTCCCAGGCTTACACCAACGCCTACAGCCTCAGTGGCCCCGTGGGGAACACCACCTACCACATGGAGTACAACGCCAAGTCGGAGCTGCAGCAAGAGCCAGTCAGAAGCGGGTCAGCTTCCGGTAATCGGAAAAACAACCCACACCCTTCAAATGTGAGTTTGTATTTGGGTTCTGTACACGAATCCTAGAGCAAACCCATTTCTTCAAAAGACAGACATACTTCGTATTTCCGGGTACTTTCGATGATTTAAACTATGTTTTGTAGAGTCTCCACGTATTGAGTGGCTTGATGCTAGGAACTATGTGTGTTAGGATTTCAAGGGAGACTACTCTATTGAGTGGCTTGATGCTAGGAACTATGTGTGTTAGGATTTCAAGGGAGACTACTCTCGGATCTACTGTCAGTCCCAGAACATTGTATTCAAGTCATTTCGAAAGCTCTATCTGTGTCTATAGACTGAGATTTTAGGATATTTTTCTAGCAGTTTAGAAAACAAATGTTTCACTCTCAGTTTGACACAAGCTGTCAACAGAACATAGCTCCCTTTCATTTTTTATATTGATTCTCGATATATGTTCATGCATAAAGACTCCTATAGAGCAGGAAGTGGGACCACTTAACCATCACTTTAAATGCGTATATGCGTTTGTACGTCTGTGTGTGTCCATTAGACAATATACAGGAATATTTCATTAACCAAAGGGTATGTGTTCTTTTGAAGAGGGCGTGTATTGTGTGTCACGTCCAATCACGGTCCACGATCCAACACCTTGAACGAGATTTTGGCAGCTAGATGTCTGATAGTCGAATCAACTACCAAACGTTCTGTCTTGTAATATTGGGTATATCAAAGTGGACGCATGAGACGCACGCGTTCTGCATGTGAAAGGAGACATCTAATAAATGCAGCCAAGGTGTTATATACGTTTTCTCAAACCTTTTCATTCTATCAAGGCATTCATGGTCTGGAGGTTCCCTTCCAACAAAAATCCTGTACCGGATGTGACTCCATGGGCAGAGGAAGTGACGAACGAGAAGCTGAACCAGGTTCACAAGAGACTTTGTTCCTCCACATACCAGACCGACTACCTCGGTATACCGCAAGGTAGGGACACAGATGATATCGTATGAATGTGATCAATAAGTCGGGTATAACGATGGTATCCGTTTCTGACCGAATGTTTAATATGTAAATTATTGCACCTGTTAAATAATATAGGGGCGGTGGTGTAGCCTAGTGGCTGGAACGTTCGATAGGTTCAATTCCCCACATAGGTTCAATGTGTTTAGCCCATTTCCGGTGTCCTTCACTCAAAATAATACAAAGCAAGGGCATTTTCAAAATATTTTCGTAATAATATTTAAGTTGGTTGGTGGGTAGTTCAGTCAGTAAGCCGTTCGCTGGTCTAGCAGAAAACACGTGTTGAGTTCCCAAACGTTGATAAGATACCTCAGCACGTTGCTTGGTGTCCCTCAATATTGATGGAAGTTTGCCACACTCATCTACTCTCTGTTATCCGACAGGTTTTCAGGTACGAAGCGCATACAACCTTCCGGGAGACTGGCGGGAAAATATACCATACACACTAGACTCCGTACAGCGGTACTCCTACCAAGGCGCTGCCCCGCAGAATGAGCTCCGCGTTCCAACAACGAGATACGGAAGTAACAAAAAGAAGCAGCTCGCGGCCAACGGCGGAAGTAAGTGATTGTCCGCTTGTCAAAAACCTCAACCGCGCTGTTGAGTGGCTTAGTGGTCAAAGCGTTCGCTCATCAAGTCGAAAGTCTGGTTCAATTCTATAAAAGGGTAAAAGGCGTGGGTTCTTGTGTCCTCTTTCCCTCCCACCCCAATCCCGCCAACGCTCTCGTGATATTGCTAGAATATGTTCCTTAAACATCACTGTACCCTGCATCAAGGTTACAAGTTACCTTAAGTACACGCCATATCTACAGATTCAGTGTTTCCTATAGATACTTGTCAATGGATCTACATATACGAGCAAGTTACGTTTACTCATTGGATTTGTACAGGGCACCCAGGAAGATTCGAGTTAGACTTGGTCTTCAGCAGCCCATGTTTATAGGAATAAATTAACCTTAATAAAACGTGGCGGCAGTCTCTAGGATTGGGTCTTTTAATAAATAACACATATTTCGGGAAGACCACTGAATGTGCAAGGGCATTGGAAGAAAGGGTAATTAAAATATTACAGGCAAGCATTAAGGGAGAGTGGGTGTTTTCACTATACATGTAATTATACATTATATAGGCATACCTCTGACCCACCCTCCCGTGTATAATAAACTACAGTCCCTAGAAAAAGTGAAACATTATCAAGTTCGTTTCTATGTCCGTATCTTAAAGATAACACTTCATGAAATAAGCCATGTAAGTCAAGATTAGCTAATCCGTAGAACAAGATAACTTTATCCGTAGAACAAGGCATTGTCCGCATTGTATAACAGTATCGTGTCGTAGCCTGCTTATCCTTATGATAAGGCTGCCTTTCTCATCTATTCAACCGACTGAACACATTATCCCAACCCTTGCCACGGAGACCCCCAAAACCGATCTGCGGTCATTAAAGATTAGCTGATTTCCATAAATCGATATCCTAATCCGAAAATCTCTGAGGCAATGGCAGTTAAATCGCAGCATTTATAAACTTGATTTCCCCTTTTGTATTGCCAACTACTCAATCTGCCGTAATCCGATTCGTATCGTTGTCGTAAAGAATTCAGCTCCATGTCGTGATTGAATTGCGTGTGCCTGTGACGTCACGTCGCTGATTATGCATTAAAGCCGATGGCAAATCGCCTTTCGTTAGGATGTGTCGGATTAGTGCGCAGTGCAAACATTTTTTCTGTCAGAATTACGTGATGATAAATGATATAATGACCTGGACATATTTTCGCGTCGGGAGGGAGTGTTGTCTTGCCTTGATATGTGCTCGTAGTCTGTCCTACAGACCCTGAAACAAACATACAAGCCCATGCAATTCTAGAATATGTGGCAAGTCTAGATTTCCACAGTTTCAGTTTCTGAAAATTATGAAAGTCTCAGGGCTACTTTTCATTATACATATATATTTTTTAATTATGAACTGTTTTTATTCTGTAAAATATGTTCATATCAGAGACTAGTTGTTAGTCTAATGTGCTCGCACAATGTACTAGTAAGTGAAGACCTAGACTAATGCTTAGTCTCTGAATATATATAATTTTGATAGTAACAAACAAGCCCATTTAAATTGAAAAGGAGCCCCAGGGAGACCAGAGATTCTAAACTTGCTTTATTTAGGGCTTTAGCACTGCAGAGAGGGCTTGGCAGTGGGGAAAATAATGTGGTACAGGGACTGTGAGACAGACTAGTGAAGACCCCAAAAAAGTGCGGACAAGCTATCGTTTGAAGCGCCAGTAAATGCTACACCGTCCTCGATTTTAAAGAGCCGTATCGTGAAAGTATTAACTAATGATACAAGAATATGAATCGAGCCATGAACTGTTTTGAAAAGAAACCCGCAATTGAAGCTGTAGCTTAAATGTTTAGTGATACTGTTCTGTGAGAACAACCAGAAATCAACAATTTGTTGACTGTCTGTCCGGGTTTATTTGAGTTAATTATTTGGTTATGGCACTTATATCTTTCGTTTAGTAAATTATTTATTTTGAGTTGGAGAATGGAAATGAATGACAAGTGTGTGTTCATGTGAGCTAAATACTAGGTCGCGTGTTTTCTAGTAAGGGAAGGCAATTAAGATGGGCTATTATCCTTGGACTACTTAGGCAACACAGTGTTATTTGATTCTAACATATTTTACGTTGTCTTAACGTTCTGTTTAACGTTAATAGTTGAATAGTTTTCCCAGTAGTTAACAGTACCTATGAAACAAAGCAGTAAGTCACTTCAATGTTGATTCGTCAATTTGCATGTTGTTTTGATCGTGTTTTTTCTGAAGCTGTAGCTGAATAGCGAAGAAAGAATCTCAAAGTGAAAAGTTTTACAGAAAACTCTGTGACACCAAGTTATAAGAAACGTTGTTATAACGTTGTGAGGAGCCCAAAACATAACGCATCCTCAACGTAAATGTGCAACGTTGTTATTACGTTGTGACATAACGTTATAAAATGACGTAATATTCTCGTTGTGACAACGTTGTCTCATGACGTTACCAGTCACCAACCTTCCCACAACGTTGCGAAAACGTCGTGTGTTAGCTGGGCTGGGCCCATATTCTCGAAACGTTCGTAGCCCTACGAACTTCTTAAGCCCATTCTTAACACATTGGCTACGATCAAAGTTAAGAATTCTTAGGGCTACGAACGTTTCGAGAATAAGGGCCCAGGTTACTACAGCTGAATATCCTGTTCATTGACCGAACTATAGCCATGTCATCGAGAGATACCCTTACAATCATGTTGTGTATTTTCTAAATTCCCATAACAAACCCATACCCTGGATCAAGTATTACTCTAAACACATGTTGTGGCACTTTCCCTGTGTCTTCAGTTCCAACGGCGAACCAGTACTTGAACAGCATCAAGTCACGAACTACGTACGACCGCCACTACAACGAGAACGCCGGCCCGGTCGTACGTCAGATCCGAGATGTCGGGAAGAGGTTGGGCGCAGAGACGCTCCGAAAATATTACGAGAGATCTTCAGGTGAAGGTGAGTAAGGAAGATAACCGTGTTGGATTTTGTTTCACTAAGGGAGGCCACTCTCCTTACTGCAGTGCTTTATTTTTGTGTGCAGTTAAAGTTTGACTTGAGCACGTTCACGTCTATGGCACTTTGGATGTTGTAAGCTTTAAGTTACTAGCTACTAGCTTGATGCTTTGCTGGATCATGTACTAACATGTATTATATTCGAATTTAAATATACTGAAAATGAAGTAAGAGGGTGAGCATTTAAATTCAAAGAGCATAAAATGGAGATTCTTAAAACGTAGGCTCTTAAATTAGTGTTCATTTATCTTACAAATTGTTGCCCCAGTTCAAAACACGTTTTAGGATATTTGATATGTGGGTATGTAATTTTTGTACAATTAATATATACTCATGCCAATAATGGTTGTCACCCCCTTCAATTTTTTTAATTGGAGAGGGGGTGGGGGTTGGGTAGGGGAAGGGGTTGACAACCATTATTGGCATGAGTATATTTGTGCAAATACTCTCTCCAGGGAGTTGAGAATGATATTCGAGTGCACACTAATCCAATTACCGGGATATATAATGTAAGGGCTATCAGCACGAACCTATAGCGTGGAAGTAAACATACCGGAAAACAGTTATAGTCGAAAGTCCGTGAAGAATTTATCTTCCGGGTTAGAATTGATCTTCAGCAACCCATGCTTGTCGTAAAAGGCGACTAACGGGATCGGGTGGTCAGGCTCGCTGACTTGGTTGACACTTGTCATCATACCCCGTTTGCGTAGATTGATGCTCATAATGTTGGTCACTGGATAGTCTGGTCCAGACTCGATGATTTACAGACCGACGCGATATAGCTGGAATATTGCTGAGTTCGGCGTCAAACAACCAAACGTTGTATGAATGTTAACTCAAGATGGCGAAGTTACAGTTAAAGACATGGGTCAAAGTAGAACTGACACGTATGTTCCTACCTGGTTGTATTTCAGACAGGGAACTGGTTGGCAGGCTGATCGATGCCTACCAGGAACCAACCAGTCACAGGCCACCGAAACCTTCATCACGCGCATGCTCACGGCCAGTGGTTCCGGCCAGCACTTCCGTCACAAATTTCTGCACAGCACCTATGCCAACACCACCCCCGGGAGCACCTGGGCCTCGTGTGTTGTCTTCGTAGTCACATGGCCGAGTTACACGTGTTTCTGATTGTTGCATCTGTATGCTTTTGTTGTGTTTAAAGACACGTTGTCTCCTTATATGAACGTTTCACTCATTGTTGATCTGTTGGGTGTTGTTGCGTCCGGTGCTTACCTTACAGGGTGTTCGTCGAGGTAATCATGGAATCTATTCTTTCACAGTTCTAGTTTAATTATGTTTGTATGTGTGTAAAACACGTTTTGAACCGAACTAGAAGGCCGGGTTGGCTGAATGATGAATAGTTTAAATATTAACCACTTTTTGAAGTTCTAAGTTACAAGAATAAACGTGTGAGTGAGAAAGAAATTTATTTCAAGTTTCAACAAAGTTCCGTCAGAACCAGTATCAAGGAAAGTTAACAGGCACAGCCAATGAACAGTACTTTTCCGTTGAACAGGAAATTCACACTTTCATATCTTACTTCTACATAACAAAATGGTATAACTCACAAGATAGAAACTTTCATTAGACATTCGAACAACTTTGACTTTGTTTCACTACTCAGTGGAAGCGTGCTGCAGGAGAGGCGCTTGTATCACACAGTGTTTAGATCGCTTTTTAATCTTGTAGATTATTTTACGCGAATTATGAATGTGATATTTTTACAGGACACAGATTTATTTATCAGTTAATGGATATAGTGAATGTTTATCAAAGTTAAATGATCATGTAATAACCATGACTAATATATCATATTTCAGCACTCATTGGTTGTTAATATTTGATAATAATCTTATGTATTTGCGGAAATATTATGTGTTTAGCGTCCATTGACTTTATTCTGTAAACATATACAACACGGCATAAAATTTATTGGAAAATTATTTTCATCTCATGCACTTTGTTCAGAGCTGCAGCAAACCGGAAGAGCAATGTCCGCCATGCCGGTGCGGTCAGGAAGGCTGACCCCGCTTGAAACTATCCCTAAGCCGGATCTGAACAGAGTATCCGACTGGCCCGGACCGCTGTCTCCATGGTGACATTAGCGCATGCGTAATTTTTAGGCATGCGTACAATCTGTAGAAATACGGATCAACGCAAGTTTTTAACCTATTTTCAGACATGTCTATTTGTAAACTTAATGTGATAAATTGTGAGCAAGAATTACGTCAGCATTTAGTTTTAACCAACCGTTTCGTAAATAAAAGAGAGAATATTGTGGGTTATTATGGATGTTATAAGTTTCTGGGAATGTATTTGGTAGTGAAGCTTGAAACCTTCACATGGTTTCTTCGATTATTACAAAGTCCATCACGACATTTAATCATACAATTCACAACTAAGTCCTAGTTATAATTAACATTGTACTTTAATTTAATGAGTGCAGGTAAATTCGGAGGGGCACGAGAAGGGGACAATAATTATATTTCAATTTCAAGTCCAAAATCCATGAAGCAATAAAAGATGGGGCGGCGCAAGGGACGAGTCCTCATCGGATCCGCTTGGCTCTCCCATGACCAATGATTTCTTATGATTATGAATTTTTGTCGAGTTTATTGGTGTATTCTCTTTAGATTTTCGCTGCATTCGCATTAATCCCACAATGCATGTTGTATGTGAAAGGGTTAACATCATCTGTACGACGATGTACTGTTCACGTGTAGCCTGGGGGTTTATTTTCGATATTTACAAAGAGAAGCCTTATTCATGTTGTACAATTCATGTTCTTGCTGTACATATGTGTATATGGTTGTATTTAATGACATCTTGTTAACCCCTCTACTGCTGAGACAGATTGTATATTTTGCTATATCCCCTGTTAGGTCAACCTGGCTAATAGGGGTGTGATCCACTGTCGCTGCCTTAATAAACCAGTATTGGAATCAGTGTCTACTGTCTTGTTTCACCGACATGAGTCAGTAAAGGTTGGAAATGTGTTATTCTTTACTTGTAGGCCACGGGCCTTTTCTACAAAGTGCGTGAGTGAGTATGGTTTTAGGCCGCTTTTAGCAATATTCCAGCAATATCACGGCGGAGGACACAAGAAATGGGCTTCACTAATAGTACCCAAGTGGGGAATCGAACCCGGGTCCTCGGCGTGTCGAGCGAACGCTTTAACCATTACCCACCACCCCCTCTGTATGACAGATTGAATAACCTCCTTCCTTGATAGGCTTAGAACCCTCCAGCCACCCCTCCCAAAACACACCGACTGTTGTTCATTTGCTGTTCTACGTCGAAGTCAGGGATATCCCAGCCTGTATGTCGGCGGCTAGGAATGATTGAATCTGGGACCGGTATAAACTGGCGGTTGATAGACTTAGCATTATACACGAGAAAAACCAATAAGCCATGTGTTGAGACACAGGCAGTAAGACATTATGGCGTTTAATGTCATATTTCTAATGTGACGTTTCCATATATATTGTGGTCATGTGGTAGCTACAATCAGGTTTAATGGTGATATTAAATTCATATCCTTGGCTAATAGGTAGCCTAATGGTTAAAGCAGCCAATCGTTTTGCCGAAAATGTGTGCTCCTTGCTGCGTGTATATTGTTAAAAACGGCGTAAAACTATTCTCAGTCATTTATATCCAGCAAGTCTGATCATTCTAGTTTAGCGGTATGACACATGTCTGCTGTAATTGTATCTGAACTGCAAGTCTAAAACATAATTGAATGAAAGCATAGCTTGTATATTAAATCTCCATTCTATTATTCTCTACGCTTTCCAGACTAATTCGACACCATACGAGCGTAGTTTCGGAAGCGGCGTTACTATGTCTAAAGTTATCTAGAACCTCGCTCAGAATTTCTCTCCAAGGAGCCTCGATCTTTCTACAAGACATAACGGATAATTATGTATAACTGAAATCAAATTCTAGTAACTAAATCACAAAATATTTAAAACAGCATCAATCGACTTCTTTGGTTGAGATCAAGGTCACGTGATAGAATACTGAAGCGCGATTGGTCAAATGTACAGAACTGACTGGAAGTAAGAACAGGATGATATATTGACCTGAAAATGAAATGTTCCCAGAGTAGTAAAACAATATCTTATGCATTGGAAAACTATTTTCAACTCACATCGTCTGTAAACATCCCAAATAAGTCGACAAAACTATGGCAAGTCCGGATTCCTGAAGTTTCAGAAATTCTATGTGCACATTTCTATGATATATTGAAATACAATCTAATAGTCAGATCTTGAAATGTTTTAACTTCTGATATTAAATGTTAGTCAAGCTGCGACTGTATAACTCATCCTACATTGCTGAATAACCAGTCGCTTCAGAAACACATTCGTTTCAATCTAAAAAATAGCTCTTTCAGCTAGGTTTCTGAGATAAAGATTCTTAATGATTTTCAGCATGTGTAACAGCACATATATCTATTTTCACACCGTCGACAAGTTTTATTACTTAACAAACGTAAACATAACATTTAAACGCAAAACAAGACACATACTCCGGAATCCAGAAAGGCATACCATAATAACAGATCGTAACAGATACAAGACATTTGTGAACCTTCGAAAGTACATACTTCATCCAATCGTGTTGAATCAATTAGTAAAGCGTAATTAAATTATTAAAGGGACACAATCGGTACGTGACGCCCATAGATAAAGGGTTCAAACCATGTTCTCGCTGTCTCACGTTGGTCGCGCAACCAGCGAGATCGATTACAATGAGTTGAAAGGTCACCGTGATAGCTTGGCGTAATGCTGGGTACATGTATAAACACTGATGTTATAGCTGTTGATAATGTCATAGTCTATGCCAACATCTGCGAGTGATTCGCCCCGATATAACGCCGCTTATGAAAGGGGAAATGTCAGCAGTGATTGATACCTCTTACACTGAGACAACATTTAGAATTACTCGGATCTTCATTCATACAATATGTCGAGGAATTGTTGCCGAAATATCTTCAGCGATAATTTATGTGACATTACATGGGAACCAATTCGCCTGGAGCGTGGGTGGGTGGGTGTGTTACTCCCGATCTGGAGAGTTTACCGTTAATATCCACGAATATGTTTTTATACTTTCGTCAGGGACATAACCACAAATAAATCACGTGAACATACAACATAGAAAGAAAGAAAGAAATAAAGAATAAAAGAAATAAATAAAAGGCCACGAATATGTTTGTAATGTTTTACACTTTCGTCAAGGACATAACCACAAATAATCATGTGAAAATAAAACGTAAGAATAAATAATATAAAATAAATGGAGACAAGTTGCCCATTTACATTAATATTAAAATAATTATATTTATATGGGGACACAAACTGGTTGGCTTGGTGAAGGTATGTACATGTAGCAGAGATATGTATGTGAAACTGCGGCATGATATCTTAGTGGGCCTTCGCTGTAAAACCGGGTTACATCCTGATTTGTACGAGCAGACACACGCAAACGTGCACGCACACGCAAGCAAGCACACGCACACGCATAGAGTGAATTTCATCTTCAGCATCAAGCCTGACCCATTTTAGCGTCATCTGTTCTTTTACACATCTCCCTTAATTCATAGAGTGAGTGAGTGAGTTAGGTTTTACGCCGCTTTTAGCAATATTCCAGCAATATCACGGCGGAGGACACCAGAAATGGACTTCACACATTATGCCCATGTGGGGAATCGAACCCGGGTCTTTGGCGTGACGAGCGAACGCTTTAACCAATGGGCTACCACCCCACCGCCCATTATAGTCAGAGGTAGATCCAGTGCCCAGGGAGCGTTATTCTTGCACTTTGTTTCAATACTTTTCAGAACTTAAGAAATTGTAGATCAGAAAAATATCGACATCCAGCGTGTTAAAGGCGTTAACCTTATTATTGACCCGTTATAAGTTTTATTGATAGCATATTCAAATATCAACTGTATTTTGTTTGTATCAAAAATATTCATTTCAGTTTAAATAATGGATTTCATTACATTTTGAACATATTTTACAGATTGTGCTTCTTTTGTCTTTACCATATAATACGGCGAATTGTCTAATATCATAATTCATGAAGTGACATCTGAAAATGGAATTAGTGCTGATAAGGTAAGTATTGAGTGGTTTCGTGTTAATAATTTTGGCACGCGGTCGGTAGTCCAGTCGTGTACGTTTCGTCCCTCCGGCGTGCCGGAATCTTTTCATAGTTGGTTCGAATCCCAAATTTGTCATGGTTATGATTGTTGGTTTGTCAGCTCCGTACAAACTGCCGTGCGTTCAGGTCACTTGGATAGTTTTGAAGTTTCACAAGTTGTTGAATCCCTTCAGAAAACAAGTGTATGTGCATCAGAGATAAAATCTTGGATGACATGTAGCAAACTGAAACTTAATGAAAAACTGGTATGTTGGTAGGCTCTAAGCAACAGCTTCAGATGTCAACTGACAAGAACTTATAACTCGTGATTGGCCACTCTGTTGTAGACTTCTCATCCCGGGTAAAAAACCTTGGTGTCTATTTTGACTCCGAGTTGTCTATGGATATCAAGTTGACAATTTGTGCAAGACCTGTTTTTATCATCTCAGATGTATCAGTCAAATTCGTCATCTGATATTACTTGATGCAGCCAAGACATTAGTACAGTGTTTAGTACTCTCGAGGTTGGACTATGCGAACAGTTTGCTTCTAGGCATCAGTAAAGAATCTCTGAGGAGACTTCTAAAAGTCCAAAATGTAGCGGCAAGAATAGTTACACGTGCCCCAAAGTACTCTCACATTACGCCGATACTGAAGTCATTACACTGGCTTCCGGTTGAGGCGAGGATAGAGTTTAAAGTACTCTGTATCACATTCAAGAGTCTAAAAGGCATGTCACCAGAATATCTAAGTGAACTGCTAACCCCCTACAAACCATCCAGACAACTGCGATCTGAAAGCAGATTCTTTT